TAGTAACAATATTTACTATACTACATTTATCCATTTAAATATACTAACCTCACACTTTTGTAACAACTAAGGCAAAAATGTGATTAATTCAGAAAATCTTTTCAGGACCCCACATTGATGTTTCGGGACCTCACTTTGGGTCCCGACCCCAACTTTGGGAAATACTGCTCTAAGTGACCCTGTGATAGACCTGTCCAGGGYGTACCCTGTCCCTCACACAGTGGCTGCTGAATATGGGCACCCATGGCCCTGAAAGGAAGATTGGCCCTTTATGTTTACTATTGTTGGGTGTGGTCATCCAAATCTGTTTTTTGTTCTTTTTTCTCAGAATGTAGCATGTCATATTTTGGCCCCTTGTGTTCCTGTTTTCAGTCTAATCAACAAATGAGTTCAAAAACTGATAAGTCTAATGAACTTGTGTTGTTTATGCAAGTCAAGGTTAAGGAAAACCTACTTTATTTCACTTACTTGAAGCACAAAATTACAAACACATTTTATGAGAATCTGAAAATAACCAATTGTAAAATTTATGATTCTTTTATTACATCCAGTGTCTGTTTGCAAAGGCGTATAGTATCAAAGTACATTTACTTCATTACAGTACTTATAATAATTTTTTGAGGATTTGTAATTTTACGAAGTATTTTTTTAGTCGTAACTTTTATTCAAAACATAGGAGTTATTTTCTTTAAGTGTTGAATTTGCTTAAGTTAAGTCTACTGGTTACTCAACTCTGTAGACCAGGGGTGCCCAAACATTTTCCTCAAGAGGGCCAAAATGAAAATTAATCCAGATCTGCAGGCCAAATTCAGTAATATAATACATGAAATACAAATACTCTTCAAGTAAAGTCATTTATTTTTAATGATTAAGCTAGCAGCCAGTGCAGTAGCCCACTTTTGTTTTAGTCTGTGCACTTGGAGGACATCTGCCATATGCTCAAGCAGCAAAGGCTCATGGGACAATTCATAAATTTATCAAATATGTTTTTATGGTCTTATAAAGTGTTTTTAGTGGTTTAACAGAGTCTGTTTCTGTTAAGGTATTTTTACTTTTACTTAGTTATTTATTTTAAGTACTTTATATACCTCTGCCTCTTTGTTTTCCTTCGCCCACATTGATCTCCTTTGCTAAACTGCAACAATCTAAACTCACCTACTTGTGTCCGGTTCACCTTTACTCACCAGAACGACAACCAGCTGGATCCTGACGATCTGGACCTGGAGCCACTGGACAATGCCATTCACCTGAGCAGCAGTCCCAGAGTGAGGACCAGCGCCTCTGCTCCAGGTGTTGGACAAAGCAGCTCTGCGATTGGAGGTGTGCTCTCAAACCACGCCCACTCACTGAACCAAGATTCCCCCGATTTGCTCCAGACCGTCCTGAGCAACAGCCAGGAGCTGGACAGCGGAGTTGGCCGCACGGATGAAAGCACTCGCTATGAAGAGTCCTCTGAACACGACCTCCTGGGAGACGACCACACCAGTGCCTCCAACACCAACGCAACCAACACACCAGGCAGCATGCGCAAGTTCCTGTCCAGCAGAGGGGACACTCCCCCCCTCCTCCATTCCCAGGACCTCCAGTTCAGCACGGACTCCCTCCTGGGACTGGAATGTTTTAACGGCGGAGGCCTGGAACAGATGGAGCGGWTGGAAAGGACCTACATGGCCGATTCGGTGAGGATGATGATGCCCGGGCTCACCGAGGAAGAGTGTGAGAGGTATAAAGAGCTCCTGGAAATCAAGTGCTTCTATGAGAAGACCAGTCACGCCCAGGGTGTGGCGCAGGAGGACGGGGGYGTCCCACTGGACGAAAACAGGAACGAGAGCCTGACGCAGCACGAGATCGCGCTCCTTGAAGAGGAGCTGCGCCACTTGGAGTTCAAGTGTCGGAACATCTTGAGGGCGCAGAAGATGCAGCAGCTGAGGGAGCGCTGCATGAAGGTTTGGCCTCAAGAAGACAAGAGTGGAGGAGGTGCAGGAGCCGGACGCTTAGAGCTGAGTGGTTTGGTGGGCGAGGAGTCCAGCCATCACGCTCTGTCAGACATCAACGAGCTTCCCGAGAGAGAGCGCTCCGACAAGGACAGCACGAGTGCCTACAACACTGGAGGGGAAAGCTGCAGGAGCACGCCTCTGGTCAGTGAGCACCGCCCTTCACTCTCCACACAGAGTCTGGAAGGTGGAGAGCCTCCAGCCTTCACCAGGCAGAAAGAGAGGGGCCCCAGGGCCGAACGACGGGACGAGATGCAAGCAAACCTGAACCAACCCTACTCCCCGCACTCTCAGAGAAGAGCTGAGGGTAAGACGTCAAGCCCCGGTCCGAAGGTGAGGTCGCTATCCCGGGACATGGGAACCAGGAGGGGCTCAGATGGAGGAGTGAGACGGAACCCGAAAGCCGGTGGGACGGCTGAGAGAGCTGGTGGACGCAGCGCTGAAAACAGTCCTTACCTGTACCGCCGACAGACTGAGGAGAAGCCCCCCCAGCGCTACATGAGCTGCATGCAGCTGAGGTCCCCCTCGCCCTCCGAGTGTCTGGGGGGGCTCATGAATGCTCATAAAGAGGCGGGAGAGATGGGAGGTCACACCAGTCCAATGAGCCTTGGCAGCACGTGTAAAGATGTCGCCCAGACCTCAGGTGTGGTTCCTTTTCCCTTGTCCCCTCCGCTGATGCCCGCTTCCCCCCGAATGGAGTGGAAGGTCAAGATCCGCAGCGACGGCTCGCGTTACGTGGCCAAACGGCCGGTGAGGGATCGCCTGCTGAAGGCGCGTGCCATGAAGATTCGAGAGGAGCGCAGCGGRATGACCACAGACGACGACGCAGTCAGCGAGATGAAGATGGGCCGCTACTGGAGCAAAGAAGAGCGCAAGCAGCAGCTGCTGAAGGCCCGAGAGCAGCGGCGGCGCCGRGAGTTCATGATGCAGAGCCGGCTGGACTGCCTCAGAGAGCGGGAGAAGGAGCAGGGGGGTACACAGCAGCAGCAGCAGGAGACCACCTCCATCTTGGAGCTTTGCCATCGCAGGAGCATGAAGAAGCGCAGTCGCAGAATCATGGACAACTGGATCACTATACAGGAGCTGCTGGCACATGGGAGCAGGTCTGCAGACGGAAAGAAAGTCTACAATCCACTGTTGTCTGTTACCACCGTCTGAGGTCCCACACTGAAGAAAAACTAAAGGTCAAATTTTAAAKATTAAAAAAGACTGAACAAGCAAGGCTTTCCAGAGACCAGAAATTACAAAAATCTTCCAAAACAGCAGGAAAACATTCACACTGTGAATAGATCTAGATGCAGTGTATCAGACGTATCATGAAGCACAGGACCGCTCTTAAACAAAGCACAAACTGCATTTATTCTGGCAATGAGGCTATTTAGCAAAATGCCACCATCTGCTGTTCAAAAGATCACAATGAAAACTAATGTTTCCAGGTCTTGATTACATTTTAGTAATTTATGGAAATGGGGCTAAAAGCAACACAGCTGTGAAAATAAAGTCACTTCAGTGCCATAAAACACTATATTCAATGCTCAAAGGGGATTTTTTTTAAAGAACAAGCACATCTTGAAAATACTTTTTGTGTTAGTACAGACGTTGATAAATGTGTTTGTACCCCTTCATTAAAAAAACACGAAGGTCAGTAAAACAACTGGAATATTTCAGCTCCTTCCACAGAYGGTCAACAGAAGACCACTTCAGAACAGTCCAGTGTTCTGAGCCATACTTGGTTGGTTTTAGCAGAGTTTTGGTCATTATCTAGTTGGACACATCCAGCTGACACCAGGCTTTCTGACACGGAGCAGCACTTCTGCTCCAGAATGCCTCTATAGTCTAAAGATTTCTTTGTACCCTGCAGATTCAAGACACTCTGGACCAGATGCGACAAATGAGCCCAAGAACACAAGTGAGCCTCCTCCACTTAACTTTCTTGGCTCAGTGAACATAGAGCTGACCTGACTTGTTACCAAATATCTCCAGTTTTGCCTCATCTGTCCAAAGGACTTTGTCCCAGACTTCAGCTTCTCAAAAACAACAATTCAGTGTTAAGTCTAGCGCATGTGACCAAAACATCAACTCGCCGTTTTGAGAGGTGTTTAGTTTAATCTGCGTGTGGCTCCAGGATAAACGAAGCAAGTTCAAAATGAACTCCACCTTCAGCTTTGAGCTGAAGACGTGACCCAGATGGGAAGCGAAACATCTCCAGCTACAGAAGTCCAGTTTTATTTATTTTCTGTTTACTATGTCCTGACAGAGTCTACACCAGCATTTTCTCCCAGAAGTTTTGTAACTTGTCAACAGGAATTTGGGCAAATTCTCATCTCGTTTTCTGCTGAGTTGGTGTCCTCCCTGGTCGTCTTCCATCCAGCGCCATCGGACAACAACGACCCTTGACCTCGGAGTTCTCCTCTAATCTTTTTGAAAATTGTTCTGGGCTCTTTGGGACTCGTCATATTTTGTTTCTTTTGTCTTTAAATTTCCCCTTGAAGCCATGGAGTTTGGCTACAGTCTGAGTAACATCTGCAGCTGTCGTCACAGACACATCAAGCTGCTTGGAGACGGTCTTATAGCCTTTACCTTCAACATGTTACTAAATGATTTCCTTTCTAAGCTCCTCAGTTTTCTGTGGTCCGTGTCAGTGTGGACAGCACAGCGACTGTCACTTTTTTAAATAGGCACACTAATGACAAGATTGAAGACACCTGTGATGCTAATTCCAGGACATACATTAGTTTAGTATGTCCCTGTGGTCAAATGCTTTTAGTTTTTCTATGGGTATCATCCTTTTTGTGGAGATTTTTTTTTTTTTAATTACAGAATTCTGTTGGCCCACAATTCAAAAGCAACGAGTGAATTTAACAGATTTTTGTTCTTAGCAGCTTCAAGTCATTTCAAACCACCGTGGGTTATTCAGTGTGTGCAAACACATTTATCCACATCTGTAAATGTTCTGTAGTTRCTTCCTTTTCGTCCCCCTTTAGAAGTGTTCATCTGCAAACACCTTTGTTTTCAGGATCAGTACTCGAGCTCAGAATCCAGTTTTTATGAGGAGCTGTGTGGTGCCTTGTTTCCCTCCCAGGCAGAATAGACCGTGTGACACAATTTTTTTAAGTCATAAAAAAAGGAGACAAGAACAAATGCAGAAGCACAGAGGCGACTTTTTAAGTTCATTTTTTAGGGGAACAAAGCCTGAGCAGAAAGAGCTGCTGGGGTGTTTTGAGTGTTGCTTACTTCTTTCAAGGTGTGTAAACTTTGACAAGCAGGTAAAAACCTGAGAACACCCGTTAGAAAATTAGGCTAAAGTAGTTTTTATATAAAACATTTTGTTTTTACTAAAATCACCTTTGGTTTACAGATAAAACGTGAATTTATTGTCAGTAAAGATTTCAGAAATCTTTGCTTTTTTCAAGTCATTTTTGGCTAATATGAAATTGTTCATGCTAACATTGACTGTGACCAAGGGTTTGGTTTTTTTTCATTAATCTAATCTACAATAAACGGCTTAATAAATACAGCTGCAACAATTTTTCTCCAATTCTTTGCTCCTTTGAATGCAAACTATGTGGAGTTAATATGTTTGTAAAAAGTAATGAATAAAAGCTGCTTTTTTGTTTGGCTTTCATGCATGTTTGATATGAAATTTTTCACTTCGATACTGGAGGCTTTTATGCTAACTGTGGTTGTYTTTTTATGATTTTGTTAAAATTGCAAAGACAAAAAAAAAAAAACATGGTGTAATTGTTCAAAATTGTGACGTGTCTGAAATTTTACATCGAAGCTTTTTTTTAAATAAATGCTGTGATTATGTTAAGAATATTTGTTTCTTGTGCATCTTTAGTTTGATCAAATAAAACTGTTTCATTGTCATGAGAAAGTTGGAAATAAGTCCAAATGTCCTAAACAATTCTAAACTTTTATTTTTCTAACAAGTGTGAAAAGAAAAAAAAAGGCAACAGTAAAATGAAAAGTTTATACACAAACTCACGACAGCTTTGTGTCTGCAATATCAACAATAATAATAACAATAATATAATCATCTGAGCCCATAAACAAAATGAAATGAGACAACGTGAGTTACAGTAAAGTTATTTTCCAAATATAATATGGTAGGGGAGGTGGATCAAATGGAAAAGGAATAAAACATGAAGTCGAAAGGATGGGACCTACATAAAAAAAAAATTGAGGAAAAGAAAAGGAAAGATAAAGCCAAGAGGAAAGTATTTTTCGTTTTAGGAAAGTAGCACCAAAAACATTAACGCCCATTTTAACACTTCCCAAAACTGACTTGCTTCATGAAAATTGATGCCCCTGTCAGAACAGCTTCAAACACAAGATTAATTACAACTGAAAAAATAAATGCAAGTGTAACCGTGRTGCTGCTTGTCTCAGGGTGGCAGGTAGAATCCTGCGCTGTACTCAGAGCTTATTCAACGACAGAACAGGTGAGCTCAGGGGAAGAGAAACTGCAGCTCCTGAGCCTTTAACACACGACGAATACAAAGCATACTGACTGACCTTAAAAAACTCCAAATCAAAGACGTTCCTTTAACGGCAAGTCTTACATCAGTCCGACAGTTTTACAATGTTCAAAAGGGGGGGGGGGGGAGAGATCCAGGGAAGGTGAAGGACAGAGTCTGGGAAGATGGTAGGTGGGAACAAAATTAAGATGAATGAAATACTGTTGAAGACGTGAGGGTGGAGTGTAGCAGATGAGTCTTTTCTCTGTTTAGTGTCTGACCAAATGGATGAGGGATGAGGAGGAGAGGTGGGTGAACAGAAAAAGGGATGTCCTGCATCTTTAGAAATCGACTCCATCTTCCTGCACATTGACTTCTGCCCCATGMAGTTCTTGGACTTTTCCATTCTGCCGCTTTATTGTTGGCTGGATCACAACATCTGCACAAAAAGTAACACGTTGGAAAAGATTAGGTTGTTTTAATTTTATTTTGAGGACTTAAAATCATTTCTTGGAACAAACAAGATTTACCTCAGGATGGGTCTTGACAGGGAGGACAGCAGAGGGGCCGAGTTTGAGAGGACAGGTTTTCTTTGACTGAGAGACGTCCTGTGACTTTTCTCCTGACCCTTCTCCACTGCTTCCTCTGTGGCCTTTTCTCTTCCGTTTGGACTCTTTGGGTCGAACTTGTCTCTGTTCTTCGAGCTCAATCTGACAGAGACAGATTGCAACGTCACAAATCCAGCAGATAAAACCACAAAAAATTAATAAAATAAAAACATGCAACCACCGACACTGGGGGCTGCTTCTATAATAACTACATAGCGCCATCCTCATACATGACTTTCCTCCCCTAAACACTGACCAAGGACTTTGTGAAAACTATACACTTTTCACTGACATAGCCTTGAAGACACACCCTTTTTTCACTGACGAACTCTTAAGAAAACACCTCTTCAATTATCACACACATTTTGCATTGCATTAAATTTTCTATTCCTTATTATGACCCCCACACGCAAAGCGTAAGCTGGAGTCATATTGTTTTCGTACTGTTTTTTTTTTTTTTTTTTAGTTTTTGTCAGTGATTTTTGGTCAACCATAGCACAAAAACGGCTGCACCAATCAACATGAAATTTGGCAGGACTGTAGATGAGTCTGACCTACACTGCGCCAGCCAACAATTTTACGATAGACCCCATATTTGAGGAGGGGGCTCCTTTCAAAGAGGGGGTGTCAGGACATGCAAAAATGGTTATAACTCAGAAACTGTTCAACATAGGAGCTTCAGATTTCTTTTGTTGTTTAGCTCTGATGAGGGGCTATCATCAGGCCAACCAATAACACCCCCCACCCACCCAAAGAAAAAAGAAAAGACCCCCACCCAAGCCACTACAATTTTGGGATGCACCTAGAGGCACAACATTTATTAGGAATAAAGACTTCTGAGYTCTGGTGCATTTGTGCGTTCGGGGGTCATTATGTTACCGCTATGCGGTATCTAGTTTTACATTCAGGGTTATATTATGACCTATGCTGTAACTGAGACAAGACTTATAAAATCCATCCATCCATCCATCCATCCATCCTGTGCTGCTTTATCTGCATGAAAAGAAAATCGGTAATAAAGAAGACAGACAGACAGACAGACACACACACACAGCGATGTAATTTTTTTGAGCAAAAATAGCTGTACACTGTCAATGCAGAAACAGAACAAGAAAACAGACTATTTCCTGAAATTTGTTTTCTTTTACAGTAATAAATGTGTCTTTTTCTGGTCAGCATGGATTTATTTTAACTTTAGTTGATAAAGCAGAATAAAGCTTTATGCAGGTATGGTGAAACATTCCTGATAATGTTCTGTGAGCCCTGAACACATCCAGAAACACATAAACCAAGTCTGGATGGTAGGAACATGTTGTGTTTGCTAACCTGTCCTGTACTCATAATTTGGTACCTCCTCCACCATGAAAAGGTCTGTTAATTTGGCTGCATCTTCCTCTAACCCTTTCTTTTTCTGCCCGTTAGCTTTTCTGCTCCATCCAACTCTTTCTCCTTTCTTTTCTTTTTGACGTTTGTTCATTTTACCCGCTCTCCTCTCATCTTACTTTTTTTTTCCAACTTCAAGTTGAGATGGGCTGCTCGCATTGTGTTTAACTGTTCCACCAGGTGCGCCCCTGTGGGAGCTGAGCAGCAGCAGTGTTTATGAAGAAGGGTCCAGCTGCATTTGGTATTGAACTGACTGGCGATTCGGGAATCTTACCAAACGTCCATACTGCCACCACGCCCCCGGTTAAAACTAACGGGAGGGTGGAGAGTGTGTGTGTGTGTGTGGGGGGGGGGGGTTTACTCAGTGGATCAGTCAAGTTCAGCCCAGAAGGAAGCACAAGTGTAAAAAGATACTCCTTTTCCACAGATATGGTGGAAATACCCCCTAAACACTGACCCGCACGGGTGTGTGTCTGAACATAAAATACGCCCCCCGGGTGTTTWTGTGTATGCGGTTGGTACCACTGGCTGCCTGAGTGCCCCCCCCCAGGCATGCAGTACAGATATCTGAAACCACACATCTCATTTTGCTTAAAATATTGAGAACATTGGGCCTCAATGCAAGAACCGTTCGTACGCACAGATTTGTTCTTAAGTTGTGCGTTTGAGTGATTTAGGAGAATTTGTGGCATTCACCAATGTTTTCATATTCTAAGACTTTTTTCAGATACGAACAAAATTCACGAGTGGTCCAGACCTGTCGTATATTTTACGAGCAGTCAGTCTGCTGTTATCCAGGCAGGTTTTCCTC